CCCCCCCCCCTCGTTCCCTATTTTTCTCAGTAAACTGAATTAAAGCATTTTGCCATGGAACCCTTCATGTACTAACCAACACTTTACTCATGTGTCTTGTTTTGCTTTTCCCAGCACTGTGGAGGAAATGGATATCAACTCAGACGAAGCTAACACAACAACGACAGCAGCAGCAACAGCAGCAACAACAACGAAAGCAGCAACACCTTCTCGCGGTGTCATCTCCACTTTGCCCCTCGCCCTCATCCCCACAACGGGCAAGGCTGGAAGCGTCGGGCAGATTTCAAAAACAGCGGCTCCCTCTTTGACAGCTTCTTCGCCGTCGGACCCGGCGACGGCAACAGCAGCAACAACGACAACGACGACGACGACGACAACATCAACGGAAAAGTTGTCGTCTTCTCCTGATCTCACGTTTGCTAACCCCACGTCGCCACATCTCTCTGGGACTTCTTCGTCTTCATCTTCTTCTTCTCTTCCTTCCTCCTCCTCGACTTCTCTGACGTCATGTGGTGATACGAAAGGAGTTATAGACTATGCCGTGACGTCAGCAACGAATAACGGTCCAACCCCAGCTGTTGCTACAGCAACAACGACAGTATCGAAAACTGTGCCTACTTTGTCTGCTGCTGTTTCGTCACTACCTTTGTCGTCAAATGAAGCGAAAATAACGCTTTCGGGAAATTCCGAAACTTCTATCGCTTCCGAATCTGGAAAATCCGCACCTGCAGCACAAAGCGGCGAATCAGAAATGGACACAACTACAATAACTTCTACTGCTTCAAAGGTCGTCAGTGAGAGCGGTGTTTTGAGCGTTACCAACACGCAAACCACCGCTACAACCACATCGTCAACAGTAGCAGCAACTGCACCAACCGCCGCAACAACCACCACGTCATCAATAGCATCGACAGCAACTTTCACTGCGCCGTTGTCGTATGCCACAGCCCAGCAGTCTCAAAGTGAGAGTGTCGCTCCCTTGGACTTGTGCCTCAAGAAATCGGGTACGGTGCCTAAAAATTGTTTTACTAACTTTAATATTATGTAAGGCATCATACTGAAATCAAAGAAGCTGGCATATTCCGCCGGTTTGGCGATTTTTATCGATTTTGTTTTATTTTTATTATTATTATTATTATTATT